CCCCCTGGAATAACTATGTGCCACTGGCTGGGTCCTGCAAAACTTGCCATTGCCACTGCAATTGTCCACAGTCCTGGCTTTGTTACATTCTCACCGATCCCCCTAAGCTCCCACTAGGAGGGGAACCTATACTTGGACATCCAACGCAAAATTAATTCAAACACGTGGCTTTGCATCCAGATGTTTCAGAAATTTTTGAAACTATTCCTGAATGTGAATGACATACCAAAATAATTTCCAGCATCGATGTGACTGGGGGTCAGAATATTTTATAGATTATTCCAGGGGGGCCTTGAGAGGGGGTCCCCTTAAGCCACGGCCCATGTTTTAAGTTACCATCCAATGAACATCCGGAACATCAATCAACTCTAGCAGAACATGACAAGCAGAACATGACATGACATGGCTCAAACACTGACTCTACTTTTTCGTTCCCTTGCCCGACGCTATCCAGGATATCCTGGCCGTCCCCTAGTCCAACCACCTCGACGGATGCAATTGCACCTCACCATGCAGGCTGAGTGGATCAAAAGGTTGGAAATGAGACTTCAGAGATTTTCAGAGAGTGCAATTTAGCAGAAAGCAAACACGTGCGCAATCTGCTGACAAAAGAAATAGATGCGAGTCAGCGGATTTGTATGGATTTGTGTTTATTGTTCTGGATGCGCGCTGTGGAGGCATAGTAGACAGAACTCCCTGGGAGACAGGTCGGGTTTGTTTCTTTTTGGACGGTTCTTTTGTGCATTCATTTTGTTCCCAAGTTATTTTTTTTCGATAGCAGAGTCTTCAGCATAGAAGTTGACAGCGAGCAAACATATTTGAGTTTGATCTTTTCATTTTGTTTTCGTAACAACAAGCTACTAGGGGCTCCTGGCATCGCTACTAGGAGCATGCTACTAGGAGCAAGGGCATCGCTACTAGGAGCAAAGGCGCTACTAGGGGCTCCTGGGTTCGTCTAACAGGGCAGACCGCCGGGTTCGACCATGTGTCGAGACCTGCCAAGACGCAAGGCACCAGCGGCACCACCCAGTGGCATTCGTGGGATGCCTCTGCAGCTCGTCAAGATTTCAACTCTTTGCAGCCACAAGCAGTGGTGACAGTGACGGTGACGCGGCTTTCCGAATTGGGCAAAATGATATAGACTATATAGTTACATTGAAACGCAACATAACCAACATTCAGGTGTTATTGTTGTATCGCTATTTGGCCATAAGTCACACGATGTCTCTTTCAAAGCACCTGACTTTGCTATTCGATTCTAAGGACTACGAGCAAAATGTGGCTTGGCACACAAAGTGTGAACAGTGCAATTGATGCAACAGTAGGCCATTTCATTGAAAAGTTAAGAACGGATATGAATGACCTGAACAAAATCTTTGATTGTCATGGAGTCATGGCTGTCGTGGCTTCCATGGAAACAACATTTCTTAGTCTTCGTATGTCTTCGTCTTATTCTTCCAGTCGTCGTTTTGAAGGCGTGGAATTTCATCACTCCGGAGGCATCATACTCGACAGAGATGCGCGGATCCTACTTCAGGAACTGAAAGCAGACACAGAACACATCCATTGAAAAAAATATTTTGATACCTTTGGATCACGGTCGACCCTGATGCAAATATATAGGTCCTGGGTGCTCGGTTTGTTTTTTCCTGACAGCCTGACCGCTGTGTGAACAAACACTCGCAATGCCAAGCATGTATATAGAAGTGCTGTAGAAGAAAAAGCAAAAGTGAGTGACAGTGAGGAAAGTGATGGGGCAGAAAGGGGGCAAAAGAAACAGAGAAGAGGAGTGACGATGAGGTATACAAAGCTTCTCCTCAAAGATCTCAGAATATCATGGACAATCCTATTGCCGTACACAACAAGGCACAGTACCATACCATACAGTACTGTACCTTGCAACGTCTACAACATTCGACAAATTCACAATCCGCATGATATGCCCAATCTATTTTTTCCTAGAGACATAGACAGGGTTTGCAGATGCGTACATATTCAATATGACTATATATGGGATAGGAGGCGTTGGCAACTGAGCAAGCACATGATATCATGCTTCCATACCACGCACCAAAGATGCTTCGCCGACTTTCAAGGCTGCCAAAGCTCCCGATGGACCTTGATGCTTCCTGCGGCTCCTCTGCAGCTGCCCGATCCTAAGCTTTGCACAAGCAGGCAGAACGAGGCAGAAGCTTGTGCAACTCTTGGCAACATTATAATCATGATATATCTATATATATATATATGTGTGTAATCATTGGCAACACTATGTATATACTGTATGTACATAATTGGTGGAGCATTCGTGTTGTGTTGTGGAGACAGCTGCCAACCAGCCCACACGATACAAATGGGAGAGGTTAACATAGATTAACATAGGCAGCTGACTGCACAGTGTTTATCTTATTTGGTTGGAATAGTGAATTGCATGAAGACTTCTGAAGGCGCTTCAAGTTTGTTAAGGGTCAACTGAACCCAGAGGGTAGAAGTTGAGCAGCTGGTCAACATTCGTTATCCCGTTATCCGTAAAGATTCCAATACCTGGTAGAAGCCGCGTCAATCTAGAGCACTTGAATGGCTGTGAGAGCCCTCTTGCATTCATGAAAACAACTAGTGCAGCCATCGGAGATTCAGTTTGAGGGAAGCATGAAGGTGATTGAATTGTTTTGATATGTCAAATATCTCAACATGCCTCTTCTGAATGGGCGACTGCAAAGCAACACGAGTGAAGAAGCCATGCCAACATACGCTGAGGCGCATGGGTTCGATGCCATGTATCAGGCGTGGTTCTGCAACAATTGACTTTTGACAAGATCGAAAGACGTCGAGAGTAGTTGGTTAGAGAATAGCGCATAATTTGTCTGAGGTTGAACACATGGACCTGCACTTGGGAGACGCATCAATGTTCGAGGAGCTTGTCAGTCTTCCTGTCTTCCTCACTCTAATCAGCTTTAGATACGTAGTTCCTTTGTATTCGTGTCATGAAGAGACAGTATTGTAAAGACTGTAATTGGCTACTCAACTCGCCTCATGTGTTTGCACATGTGACAGGCATCCCTCCTGTTCCTGTGACAGTGACGTGGAACATTTGTTAAAGTCTCGTTTTCGGAGTCTTTCCCCACTGGTATCAACGTCTCCTTACAGGCTAATTGAATATTTTATTGTAGCGGCCATCTATTCGGCAATGGCTAAGGCAGCTTGTCGCCTCATTCTGGCCCATGCCAGGATCCCATGAATGGTCACACTGATGTCATGATGCTTGAGGTGCAAGGGTTCCTTGTCTATGTCAACTTGGAATGCGCATGTCCACAGGTCGTGAGGTATATATAACCGAATATAACCATATATTATATAACTCTCTTTTTGTGGGCAGTCCCAGCTCGAAGAGTCACAGTAACATCCTCCAACCTAGTAGCATCCTTGCTCCTAGTAGCGATGCCCTTTGGTCCCTGTAGTTTCTTGCTCCTAGTAGTAAGGCCAGGAGCCCTAGTAGCGTCCTTGCTCCTAATATTGCTTTGTATAAGTTGCCTTGTCCCAGCCCTTGGAGCCCTGAAGGACAGCATGGATAGCATGCTCGTGCAGGAGGGTGTGCAGGGGCTAGGCTGAGAGTTTCTGGGGTTGACATTTGATGAATCCACTCTTCATGCTCCCCAACATTCTAACCTCAAGCCATGTTCACGCAATATGAAAGTTACATTGGCTTGTCACCTTGCAAAGCGTTGTGCCGGTGTCACCACTGCTATCTTGCTGTTTAGGGAGGTGGGAATTCATGCTTGGATTTGATGAAAGCAAAGACTGGCAAGGATGGCAGCATGAGTGCGGATGCCATGATGCAGGACTGGCTGGACATGGAAGTAAGCATTGTAAAAAGCACACATATGTATCATATGTACAGGACTTCTACACCGTTTGACTCATGACATCTTGAAGTTTACTTGACTAGTAAAGGGGGAGAAGTTTGGAGACATTAAGTTTCTCTACTTCCTCACATCTCATCAAGGCTGTCAGTTAAAGGTTTCAATTGACTCATCAGAATCAGGCTGATACCTTCGGCATGTGGTGCAACCAGGCGCTTACGAGGTGATCGAGCAACATGTTTTTGGGGAGTAGGCCACCTATTGGCCATAAAGACCTGAGATTGGGGGAGGGAGTTGAGGTAAGAAGAGGCAATGGTAGCTTAAGTCGCTGCGAGCAACTCTAATTACCGCAAAAGGGCTTTTCAAAGAGCCGAAAAAGGGTGGAATTGGTTCCGAAATAAGAAACATACGGATATGGCACATTAAAAAGTCTTTCCTACGCTGTTTTTCGTCTTCTTTAGCTTCTCTTTCTTTGGGGAAACTTCATCTTGACCGACCTTGTCTACAGCTGCATGCCTTAGTCTGTTTTGGAAAGGCACACTACTCTTTGTCACGTCAAGTCTTAGCATCAGCAGCATTCTGTTGAAAATAGAGGCGCCTAGTGCCTACATCCCAGACACACCCAGCATAGTGGTACTGATTGCTTTGCTCGAGGTTCATACGGTCCATACGGGACAGATGGCCAACTGGGTGCAGCCAACATATGGTGCTGGAAGCCCAGAATTGTTCAGAGCTTAAGGGAACATCCAATTATAGAACCACCAAGCCACTTTTGTTTAAGTGGATTCCTTCCGGTCCTTTCTCAATTGATTCCAAGAATTGGCAGTCCCGAAAAGCGGACAACACAAAAACAGCACTGTCATGCACTGATTTTTCTTTAAGAGAGCAAGCACCGCAGGCGCTGCCTGAGTGCCTGCCACCACCTCCACCAGCACCTCCAGTGCTGCGAACGACGGAGGCCTGTCCTGGTGTTTGAAACAGTTCGCCAAGATATGCCACAGTGCACCTCTATGTTTGCATATTGTCCCCGATAACGTTCCACATAAACATAGACAGATAGACATAGTTATTTCAATCCAGTTCAGGGTCTATGTCGTGGTAGGTATGATTTTGGTGATGGTTCATTTCTGGCAAAAGATTTGCTCACATTGTGCAACATCAGCTGTGTGTTCGGTTGCCGTTGCAGTCCTTTCTGAGCTGAGCATGTGTGTACCGCGCATTGCATTTTGCCTTTTTGCAATGTTGTCATGTGGTAAGCTACTTAAGCTACTAGTAACAAGAAGCTACTACTGCCAGCATCTCCTGGCATCGCTACTAGTAACAAGGGCATCGCTACTAGTAACAAGGGCATCGCTACTAGTAACAAGGACTCTACTAGTAGCTCACCGGCTCTGAAAAGCTGAGTGCTTCAGGTCATTAGCTATCCACCGCCGCCGCAAGGCGCAGCCCTTCACAGCTAGAGCCGACGCGATGTTTTTCCAAGCATCATTGGTTTCCAATGAAAATCACAAAACATGCAGGAGCAGATTGTCAGAGAATACCCTTTGTTTGTGGCAGATGCAGCTGACCTAGCAGCACCCGTTCTCACAATCATTTCAATTCAAAAAGGAAAAGATAGAAAAAAGAATGCATAGACTACGGAGTGCTGCATCCCTCTCCAACGCAACTGGAGCATGCAATGGCGACGGTCTCCTGATCCTCGGACGTTGGACGCTTTTGTAGCCAATCATGTGCTAGGTGAATAGCTGGGTCTCCACCATCACATCCTCTTAGGAGATTGTTCATTGTTATGTTTTTCAGTTTGCTCAAGATCAACAACAACTATGTGTGAGGCAGGGACACAATGATCACTGAAAGAGCGATGCCCAAGAGGTTCTAAAGCTGAAACAAGGATCGTGGACCTCCAAATGCTCCATGTAAAGATCAACATGTTTAAACTTTATATAATCCCATCACTAGGCGAAACACAGTCGCAATGGTTTCTGCGAAACAAGCCGAACTCATGAGTGCACCTTAGAATCTCTGTCAAAGCACAAGTTGTCTTTGGATGTTTTTGGACTGTCCTTGTGCTAGGCCTTTTGTCAATGCCAACACCGGCTGTCAGCTCAGCTGCGCTTGTTTGTAGGGATTCAGCTTACAACACAAGAAGAGCACTACTAAAGGCCTATATGGCAAGTTCAATGCCACGAGCGCAGCCATATTTTAAGAATGGAGAAGCATCGGTAGTTGGTCGCAAAAGATTGAGGGTGCATTGAACTACGGACAACATGTGGCCAAGAAGTGGGAAAATGTTAGCAACTCTTCCAGCTGACATTATTCTTTCTTCAAGTTACTATTCTTCCTCCTTTAGAATTCTACTCGACTAAAAGCCGCAAATCAGCCAGCGCTACTTCCCTTCCACGCAACTCATTTGTAGCAAAGAAGGGTGCCAGAGATCCTTGTACACTCGTCCTTACTGCTTCTCTTTCTGAAATAGGAGCGGTTTGCTATTCATTTCTTCTCGCCGCTTCTGCCTGGCCTACACCTTTACAAATGCCTCAAAGAAAACCAGGCCAGTGCCCAAACCTTTATGAATGCATTAAAGACCATACAATGTGTCAAGTCTTGCTCTCTCATTTACCTCTTTCTGAAAGAAGACGACCAAACGAGAAGGTTTTTTGCGAACGAAGTGAAAAAGTATGGGTTTGGGGGTCTTCGTGATGTAGTTGATGCGACCGCTTTGATGGCTTGCATCATTTGCATCATGAGTGCACTTGAGATCCATTGATTCCTAGTATGAAAGGAGGAGGTTTGGGATAGGTCATGAACGGCGATGATTGGCGATGTAGGTGGGTGGATAGAAAATGTGAACGGGGGCTCTGTGCCGCTTGCAGGTAGGCGGATGGATTGCTAGCTGCATGGCTGTGTGGGCAGATGGATGGATGGATGGATGGAAGGCGAGGAAGTGATAACTTGCTGCCGGGTCAAGCTTGTGTTCAAAAATACCCAGATTTCCAGCCTCTTCCATGTCAGTGATTGATCCTGGAATTCGTGGATTCCTTCCCAGGACCCACTGTGCAGGGGAATGCCCTTAGACTCTTTGCATCTGATTCTTCACGGACGCGCGCTCGTGAAGACACGCTTCAAAGGCATCTTTGCCAACAACGGCTTCCGTGTCATGGAGTGTCTTCCTGAGGACTATCTTCACGATTCCTTGCATGGCGTCGTTCAACCTTGCCAATAGCCGATGTCATGCTTCTCGAATGGCTGCCCAGAAAGCCTTCATTCATTTGGACACCAGTTCCCGTGTTGCAAGAGCATTCACTAGTTCAGAACAAGAAGACTTTTTGTGGTTGGAGACCTGGTGGTCTACCGTCAAGACACTCAAATGGGTGGAACCATGTGGTCCACTGCTTCGCGGGCGATTGGCATTGACCCACACAACGGTATTTGGTTGTTGCGTGAAGGAGTCCCTGTTTTGTGTAGTGCTGGAAAGCTCAGATCAGCCAAGGAGAGTGAATCCTTGGCCCTTGGCCTACTTGATTCTCAACAACATTCCAGTGCTCCCAGAAGCAAGCACAATGGGACAACAGAAATATACCCGCAGCATGATGGACGATGAAGCGAATCCCAAGTGAGGACAAAAGAGAGAAGTTCAGGCAGAAGATGAGACGGGCAAGGCTGCCCGATCATCTGAAAGCATTGCGCCTATGACGCCTGGTGGACTTGAAGGAGAGGATGAAGTTATGATGGCAGCAATGAATGGTGAAGATCACTGGAGGATTCACAACATCATGCAATTCGAGCACACCCCAAGAAGCGGTACCACGAATACCATCCGATGCAAGACCCCGTTCCCGAAGGTTATGGAGGATGAAGCGTGACCAGGAAGATCCACGAAGATGGAAGTAAAGAATCCAGCGAGTCAATGTTGTTGGGCGTGAGCAATGTTGATTCGCGTGCCTGGACAGGTTTCACCGTTTTCTCCCGGGTAACGGACCCGCTTGCCTCCATGGTTGCTGTAGATGAATCCTGTGATCCTGGCCCGGCCTGATGGATGAATACAGGGCTTTTGTTGCGCAACGCTTTTCGAAGAAGCTGCAACGCAGGAAGGACAGGTTTCAAGAACACCGGTCTACGACAAGTGCCCGTCGGAGGTACAGAAGCGCATCATTGAGGCACGTAAAGCAGAGTGGAAATGGTGTTGCCATTTCAACGCTGAGGGCCGCCGCTCCTTGATGGCATAGCCAACCTCGGTCCAGGTGAAGTGAAGAAATGCTGCCCTCATATCAAGATTGTACATCTACACAGACTTGCAGCAGGGTCAGTTGGGGAGCCACTTCTTGAGGTAAGTAGGCAATACTACCCGCCACTGACATAGGATGTGTCGGAGGTATGCTCAAAAACACAACTCCCATGTCATGAGGAAAGAGTAAAATGTGCCAAAAGCCACAAGTCCTAAGTCATGACGCCGAAACTAGCAAAATCAGGAAACTTACAACACCCTCTTAAGGATTCCTGGAATTGTAGAAATGCAGGACAAAATGCGCCAAAAACAACCTTCTGGCAAAGCCAGGACATAGGAAGAAGCTGGGTTTAAAGTTTATTTCAAGAGGCCGTCCTATGTCATACCTCAACCTCTCCAGCTGCAAGGAATCTCTGCTCCCAAGAATGATCCAGCAGAGCTGACTCCATTCAAGCACCCTCCGCAAAAATTCAGCCGCGCAGCATTGGAGATGTGGGCTGGTGTCCCAAAACTGCATCAGCAGCCGCAACTCTGTTGCAGCACTGAGTACAGGGCTGGCCTGGCAGCCCCAAATTTTTTCTAGCATGGCTCCAGGCGGATCGCTCATTTTCAAGTAGCGCGACCAGTCTGGATTGTTCAGCCGAACTTCACAAACAGCTCGACGAGCAGTGATCAAGCTCACACGAGAAAGGTGACCAGGCAAGGTCAGCGTTTGCCGCGACCCTTGCACCTCTTGGCATTGTGTGGTTGCATTGTCGTTTGGAGAAGTTGCCAGGTGCTGTTGTAGGCGAGTTTGGAGAGCAAGTGGTCGCCCGGACGGTCGCCCCAAGGGATGAGGCTGAAGGGAGATCAAGATCAGGCCCCCACTGCAGCGCGGCTTTGCAGCAACCCTCGGGCCACCAAGCAGGTGCATCAGCTAGAAGGCCAGTCATCGAAAATAAGATGGCTGCAATGAGCGCCCACTTGGGTGGGGATTTCGGCCTTGCCGTCCCAGGTAGCACCGCCTTCGTTGTCGGAGGTCGTGGCTGGAGCAAGCTCAGTGACGCGGTGATCAGGTAATTGGGGAAGAGCTTCAGGTGTGTGGAGGCAAAGTCAAGAACAAAGGACAACAGGAACAAGTAGCGGCCGCACTCACCCACGAAGACCTCAGTGGGACTCAGATGTAATCGGAGAACCCAATCTCTATGACGCAGCTATGTGCCTGCCGATGGACGACTCAATGATCGTGGTATAGAGGTTTGGCAGGATCATGGCATAGGGATCAGCACACTAGCCCACCACTGGATGGGGCTCAGGTGGGCCGCTAGTGGCCCTTGATGGATAGATGGATGGATGGATGGATGGAAGAGGAAACTGTGTCCAATAGATGGTGAGACAGAGAGAGAAGCCGGAGAGATTCGGAGATGCGCGTAGAGATAGAGAAATTGTTATACAAAGGTGAATGGATGGCTGGTTTGACGAATGGGTGCGTGAATGGATGGATGGATAGAAGGGGAGAGGGTGTGAGAGGGGTTGCGCGACAACCAGAACCGCAGACATATCCTTCCTTCTCGATGAGTTTTCCTGCTGGAGAGGGCAGAGGACGTTGCTAGGCGACTCCTCCCCACTTCTAGATCCCCTTTGTTGCGACGCGCGAGATGCAACGACTGTTACTGCTTCTACGCCGCGCGCCTTGTTTCGAAAGAGGGGGCAACAAATGCAATTTTTTGAGAAAAGGACACTTGTACATGTTGAGTTTGTTCCTGGTGGCCTCATCTGAAACAGAAGGACAATGGACACGGCTCTTGTTTCTTGCGACAAATCATGAAACATTATCTGAGTACTGTACAGTAAATATTCTTACTGTATACTCTTCTTCTTGACTTCGACCCATTGAAGGGCTAGAGGGCTATGCTGCGTGAAGAAATGGCTGACAGATGTTACTATCCTTCCTACCAAGTACAAGAGCTGGGGCCACTCTTCCCTCTTTCTACATACCTTCCAAGCTGCCGCGACTTGCACTCATCAACGCAACTGCGTCCACCCACTGGGCACCCGCCGCAGGAGCGGGGTGACGCCCTTTGCGCTGCGTCGCGGTATCCTGCCGCAAAGTCGCCGCACAGTGCTTCGACGCCTGGATCCACGCCAATACCAAAACATCATGTCAGCAGCAATTAACACGACCGATATTGCGACGCTTGACATGTGACATAGTTGATCTAATTATGGCGTCCTGCGCAAACGTTTGCAAACTTTCTTCCAGGTTCAATTTCCCGCTAGAGGCTGCTGTCTCTATATCTTTAGACCTAGACTCAAGAAACTGACAGAGTTTGGGCCTCAAACCTTGCCAAACCGAAGAAAGGCAAAGGAAAAGAAAGACTCCGTGCTTGCACAGAAAACCTGGTTGATCCTGGCTGGCCTGTCCGCCAAGCTCATCAAGCAAGCGAGCAAACCGGTTCCCTCCATGGCCAAGCAAGCAACAACTGCGCTGTTTCACTTCTGGGTCGCCGTTTTGGTCGTTGTGGTCGGCGACTGCCATGTGCCACTGAAAACGAGCTGCGGAACCTGAGTGAGAGGATATCGAGTTTCCAAGTTGCATGGCTCCGTGACAGTGTTTGCAAGCCTGGCTTGAAACGTGGGGAAAAAGGGATGGCTTGAAACGGGGGGAAAAAGGGCCGGATAAAAAAATCAAGCGTAATGTAAGCGCCAGCTACTTTAATGATGCGCTTTGAATCCTCCGACATGAACGCCATGGGCAGAGCGTGACGCACTAAGGCCGAGAGATGGCAAGTATTTGCACAATTGTCACTTCTCCCCAGCATGACCGGGGCTTGAGGCCACGCCATCGGCCCAAAATTGAGAGAATCAAACCACGCAACTTGCTGGCAGGCCGACAAGCGTCGCTGGCAAATTGAGACATGTCGGCTCGTTGTTCTGCCAGGAAACCGCTCCAAGCCACAAGACCGTCATGTCTAACATCGATGGCTCCGTCGGTATGTGCTCACCTGCGCCCTGCGCAGCCAGCATCAGCCAGCAAAAGTGTGCCTGTGTTGACACCGACCCTGTTCTGACACAAACTTCAGATTTCTGTTTTTGCGTGAGTTTCTACTCTATGTGAGCAACTGCCAGAACGTGCGATGACCAATTTAGTAAAGAACTGTCAGGAGTTTCAGGAATTAGCTTAAAACCGTCAAAGGTCATAGGCCCCCGTCAAAAGTGATAACCTTGTTGAATCACCACTGGGAAGAATTGATGGAGAGAGAGAGAGAGAGAACAAAGAAACGAAACGAGGTCGATAATTTTCCCTCAGAAACTCGAGACTGGAAATGCATCGCGCCATTCACTGCGGCACCATTCATTGTACGGGTTAAGCACTTCGGACACTGAGGCTGTGAGTTCCACGCCGCAGGAGTGGTTGGGGGTTTCAACTTGGCACACGATGAGTGTGGGCAGTTCACTGTTTTTTGGTAATCCCTATCCATCGCATGGTGGAATTGCCCAAATTCTTTTGCATTGCAATGGAGATCATCATGTACACCTTCAATGTGACGCATGAGATCGCATGAGTGTATGTTTTTTTTCTAAACTTGGGACGTGGTTCCTGTCAAGCACAAGCAGAGCATAGATGTGCAAATTGTTTTGCCAATTTCTGATTGCACAGGTAGTTCCTAGCCCACCAGAGGGCGATGCTTCTGAAAGTGCGCCGTGTGTGCCATGGACCTGGACTCACCATCAAGCACCAGAGGGTGAGGTGAAATCGTTTGGATGCATATGACTTTGAACAGTCTTACGGTTAAAAAACTAGTTACAGTCGGAGTCTCATTTCCAGCAGTGAGTAGATTCATGTAGATTCCTTGTTGAGCAGAACGTCCTTTGTGTTTTGATTTAGGCGTGAGCTTGAGCAGACAGAGCAATTGAGCGGAGCCCCTGAGCAGGAGGTGCCTGGGTGGTGGAAACTCTTCACCATTTTGATGCAATAAGACCCTTGAAGAAGGTAGATTCATCATATTTTGAATGAATGAACTTCACCCCAAAACATGTTTTATGAATGTGTGGCTGTGTGTTGTTTTTTGCTTGACTTCGCTCTATTTTGTATTGTCAAGTCACTCAGACCGTTCTCAACTAGAGTATATAGTTGACTTGAATATCGAATAGGTCACTTGATGGAGTGAGTGTTTGTGAAGTCTCGCAGGCTTTTGATGCTCTGGCATCCGAGGAGAGACTCGCATTCTTTGAACATGTGGCAATGATTGTGCAAGTCATCAGATTTGTTGAGAAATCCTGGTGGCTAACTTCCATTGAGCATGATGCGATGATGAAAAGGTGCGGAAGGCAGTAGAAACCCTAGATTGAATCTCAAGCAAAAGAGTTGACGATATCTAATCTATCAATGTCGACCGGGCAAGCAAGCAAAACGATCAAGAACGCATGGTGGGACTTGATGATGTCAATGGACTCGCGGGCCTTCAACCTAAGAGATGTCAGGACGAAGACCTGGTTTTGAGACGCTCGGGAGCCCATGATCCATACTCTGTGAGTGACCGTGTGCAAGAGGGCCATAGACGAACAGCTGCTCAGTCAGGTGGACCAGTAATACTCTTTCCATGTCCTTGTAGCTTCATGTCATATTTCTTCGCACTTGAAGCTTCAAAGGAAATCTACATATATATATATCCATACTGCATAGATCTGCATAGTACTCGAGCTTCTGAAGTGTGTTGGGAGTTCGACCTGCAGGCCGTCGCCGGCGGAAGGACCGTGATGAGCGTCATGACCGGGATCGGCGACGTGAGCATAGAGGCATGCGCAAAGATGGAAGGACGAGCTTTTGAGGATCTGAAGAAAGATGAAAGACATCAGACATTGACAAATTGAGAGATACAGCCAACTTGTGGCGAAGAGATAATATGTTCAGATCATTGTAATTATATATACAGGTACACAATGGATTTTGAGCCCAGGGCAGCGAAGATTGGCAAACAAATCCGCAGATTTATATAAGTTTATATAGTAAGTACGTTGTACATGGACCGGTTGGACCAATCGATCTGTTTTTTTTGTTCAATTTGCTTGAAGACATGCCAGGAAAGAAAGACCGATCAGTACTGAGAGCCATCCGCCTGATGCACAGAGAGGCTGGCGTATGACGAGAACAAGCCATTTCTGTTTTGTAAGATGGCAGTATCTAGTACTGTACAGCATTGGCACTGACAGTCAGTGGCCGCTAGTGCGACATCGAAACCAGTTGATATTTGGCAGGGCAAGGGCTACCGGCCACCTTGGTACCGACGCTTCAAGGCACGAGAAGCTTGATTCGGTGTTGAACATAAATATCAAATGCTAAAGTTTTGCACATGTTGTTGCTTGGAACATGTGCCTTTTTGTGTGCATTGCTTTGAGCTAGTGACTACTACGCGGCCCGTCACGGTAGCATCAACATCAACAAAGTTGAATTCGCTTCCACAGCGCAAGAGTCCAATCAATTCTTGCGCCCTTGGTTCCAGGACATTATCCGATCTGCAGTCCTCGATATACACCAGGACAGCAGTGGCCCCAATAATACATGTGACTTTAAGCAAGCAAATTATTTTTGCACAACCAAGCATCAGCACAAGCACAATCAAGCACACACACAAACATCAGTACGTGTTTGCATGTATTTTAGTTGGCAGGGCTGCTGGCCGCTGAACAAATCTCAACCTGATCTATTATTGAAGAGTTGCGAAAGCTTGTATGACTAGTGTTCTTGCATGAATCTTTGCTGAGGTCTAAACGCGCTCCGCTTTGGCATTTGCTTTGCCATGGCTTGGTTCGGACCTTGCTTCAAATCAACGACTTGGCGTATGTCATATGCCGTTGCATTGCAGATCCAACATGATTGGGAAGTCACCATAACGAAACCAGCGCCGTAAGTTTTGGTGGCATGCCAGAGGCCAGAAGCAAACACCACCTTACGAAAGTGTGATGAAGTAGGAGTAAAATGCAGTCTTTTTGGCTCTGAGTTTCACTGAGTGTTGAGTTTGTGGGATGAGGTCGCTATGCAGCTTGATCATGTCAATGATTCGTTTGGAACCCGGATGAACCCGGCATTAGGGAATGGAGGTCTCGTGTCGAGGCGCAGTATGGCAAAGCCGCGAAGCCTATATTTTTGGGGGTCACTGTAGAATTTATGTTTTCCGGAGCATGAATCACTGCAGTTTTGCACAACGAGAATTTCTGTGGAGATTTGTGGCTGTTTCGCAGACACGGTAAATATCTTGAGACCAGGAACACTACATTCAACCACTTTGTTTGTTTTGGTCCCAACTCTAACCACAAGGCTTACAGTGCAAAACAATAAAGGGGAAGGCTTATTCTTACTTTGATAGAAGCCCAGAAGCCTTCATCTTTTCACGGTGTTTATATAATGCGTTTACATGCAGGACTGAAGACTGTCAGGCTGATCCAGTGCCGCATAGTTTCCTCATGTTATCTTCGTTCATAATGATATTTTTGGCAGCAGGCTTTGATGGTTTCTTTGTTTAGTTTTTCCTTTGATTTCCTATCCATGTGAGCATGTGTGGTGTATTCTCACCTTTTTTTCACAGTTGATTTACTGTTGTGAGGCTTTTCCTCACAACTCAAAGCGAGCAATGTAGGCGCGCAGGGACGTGCGCTCCGGGCGGAATTGTGGGATCAAGACTGATCAAGGTTTCATGGCCACAAACGCTTAAAGCGTTGTGTTTTTGGTTTTCAGAAAGTGATGTTGTTGTTTCTCACTGTGGCCATTGTTGACCTTCCACGAGCTGTAATATTCTATATTCTCACTCTCGCAGCAAAATGTAACAATGTAACAGTACACTTTTGTAACACATTCAGAGTACCCCGACTCCTGAATGATTGACTTCAACTGCCCAAGAAGTGCACTTTCCGCAACATGCAGCAAACCTTGATTCATCAAGTGAAGGGCGACCACACCAGACCACACGCCTGTCCATTCCAGTTTGGGCCGTGGTGTAGTTGCAGTAGTAATTGCACGAGTGACATTTTGTTCAACTCACAGCGAACTGAACAGACTAGAAAAGCTAAGACCAAGCAGGTTGCAAAGGACAGCATGCTGTGTATGCTTTTTGTTATTATTTCCAAACGGAGATCCAGAGCTGTTGCCTTCGGTGCAAAGCTCTCAATTAGCTTGATCTGGGCCATGCCTTAACAACATTCAGCTTCTCTTTGTTTGCGCAGGAAGCTGACACGCATCAAGGCGTGTACATGGCTTGTGTGTGCATGCGCGTTTTGGTTTAATTAAGCATGTCAGTTCTGCAGAAAAAAATACATGATTTCTCCCCCTCATAGCATGCTAGCTGCTAGCCTCCTGACATGTGATGGATTCTGATGCCACTTACAATCTCCAGTTGCAATCTGCCATTTACGCACTTGTAAACCTCCCAAGGCTGAGGTTCTTTTCAGGGTTGGTACTGTAGAGTGATTTTGCTTGGAGGCCGGAGTGACTGAGCTGCGTGATCAGACTTTTGGTCCGTCGGTGAAATGTGCTTTGGGTCGCGTGCATCCTCAATGTATTAAATGTTGCCGCCTTCACGTTGTTTGCACTGGAAGATAAACACACTTACACCAATAACATGCATTAGCACATTTGGCATTATTTTGTTTGCTTTGCAGCCTTTGCCTATCACGATTGCCAGGGAGCAAGACATGGCCGGTGTATTCGAAGATAGCGAACACGCAAATCATGCATTCATTATTTTTTCATATGGAGGAAAGACATGCTGAATTGCCATTCCCCAAGTGGCCAGTCCTTGAGACGTGACCGGAGCTGAAGAATGCACATGCTTTTGGGAGCAAACACAGCGGATGCAGTCCTTCAAGCACTTGACCGGCAGAGAGGAGTGTATCAGCTCCTGTCAGGCTCGTGTATCACCAGCCCTCAGTTTGGTGCAGTCCACTGCCAGATGGAATATCTCACGAGCTTGTTGCCAGAGAGAGAGAGAGAGGGAGAGAAAGTGAACGTGTAGACAAAAATAGAATTGCGCTTTATACCATAATCATAATATGTGCTTTTTGCAGTTGTCTCATCGCCGCGAGGGCAACTCCATGTTCTATCGCAATAAATCAAATCGCAGATGTCAGAGAAGCAGACTGCACAGGTCAAGGGATGAAACCGCTATTCTCCTGTGACCAATCTACTGAGAACAACAATTCCACGAAGAGTCAAGGCTTTTCGCTGGTGGTGGTTTTGGACATGTTCTAACTGAAAGCGCTCAAGTGTTGACAAGATTCTGTTTTGCATTCCATATTGTGTGAACATTTGTGAGCATGCAGCTTGCAAATCAAGCAGTGATTGGTCACACTTTCATACTTTCCTTCTGCCTCGCGGAGGGATTGTTTCAGAGATGGTCATATGGTTACGACAATCTCGGCTGTTTTCAATATCCTGAAAAGATAAGCCATATTCCGGAGCACCAAAGTTGTTGTTATTCACAGCCACCAGCAACATGTGACCAGCGGAATCTGATTTGAAATGGTGCTGTTGGATCTCGACTGATGTGCATTGTGCATACTGGTGATCAGAGGACCTCTTGACTCTTGCTTGCGAAGTTGGCAGCAAATGTCGCCGTACCGCCTGCAAAGCATTGCAAACTTCAGCTGGAGCTGCTCAAACAACGTGGTGCGGACACCGGACCCGGCAGCCCAGGTGCTTCACTCTCAGCTCATCTCAGCTCGCCGCAGTTTGTGATATCCTGATGTGAGGAATGGCGCTGCGAGCTGCATTGAGGCGCTTGAGTTCAAAGCCAGCCTGGAGCTTGGAGCAGTGCAGAACAGAGACATCAGAGGGTCCTCCGGAAAGATCAGATCTCTCCTGAAAGAGTGCTCCTGCAGTTTCTGACATCAGAGAGTCTTCCTGAGGTGCCGCTGGGTATCCAAAATCAAGCGGCTTCTATTCGTGACTCGGCCGGCAACTTCTTCAACCAGGCGCGCTCTGAGGTGAAACTATGGTGACAGTTGCGCAGGACTGGGTTGACAGGAATGCGTAGAATGGTGTTCTTGGCAGCGCTGCTTTTGGCTCAAACTACTTACGCAAGGTTCTTCTTGACATTGAAGCACAGGCGGGACTATAACCTAAACGCCATATCCATGATCATCCATGTCATGTTTGTTATTAAAACGCATACTTTCCGCATCACCTGCAACACTCTGTTTTGGCCTTGAGGATGAAGTTCTTGAAAGCGGTTGCCTTTGGCTTCTCCAGCTTCACCTTGGTGGTGTCACAAGATGACGCGTGTCACACCTCTCACAAGGCTCCACTGAAAGTCTCAGTCGCAATTGCATAGAGCGTTAAACAAATTGATTTACAGTAGAAATCCTGCAACAGAGCAATACAGAACAAAATGTGTACACCTTGTTCAGTCGATATTTTTTCTGGAAAGGTGTCATTTAATTACTAGTTTACTGAGTCTTCCAACGCATCTTGGTTTCATTCTTTCGTTCTGCACGCAGATTGCCTTGAGCAGGCGAAGGCCGACTGTATGGGCGACTCCAAGTGTTCCTGGTGTGAGGCGTGACAGCCAGGGATTTTCTATGGCCAGCTCCAAGGACTAAAGGAACTGATGCCCTAAGGATTTTTCTGTAGTACTACAGTACTGAGACCTGAAGGTGCCAACGGTCAGAAGCACCTCTCCAACCTCACAACTGATTTGAGGGTGCTCTACTAGGGGCATCAAGTCGATCATCGAGAATGGTTCAATGACACAATCAAGGCGAGTCCAGCTTTGCAAGTTGTCCGGCCTGCACTTTCGGTATTGGTGGGGTGGCACGGTTTTTGTTCACAACGGGGCTACCTGGCGGCCTTGGGTTGGTGACATGTTGTAAACAGGGCGTGTTGGCTCAGCATGGCAGGCATCGGCAGTGCCAAGTGCATGCTACACAAAAGAGAACGTCACAGCCTAATTAAATGTCCAGGCAACAGCGTCAATGACATGAATATGTGCTGTGAAGGTATGTGAAACCTAGCTTTGAAGCTAAGGGGTTGCACCTCCAAGGCTGCAAAGCTTCCTCCTGCAGTCTTTACTTGCGCCAGCTCTCGCGCTCGCCGCTCTGAGTTGCTCCCACGTGAGGAGGCCACGCCTGATTGCTTGACCATTGGCTAGACAAATATGTTCTTTCAGCAAATTCTTTCGCGAGCGGAGGTATTGTTGGAATCAATTGGAATCACTTTTGTTTTTGGGCTCCCCGTTTGGCATGTCAGGCAGATTCGCGTATTGAGATTCAATTGGTTCAAACGCCCATGTTATGCGACTGATAAGCCAGATATAACATGTACAATGACAACCATGACAACATCAACATCGACAAGCCGCAGTGACAGGATGGACTGCAACATGCATGGCAACATGACAAGTTGCAGCGACAAGAGCAAAGACAGCAAAGGTGAGCCGCAACTCACAAAAGACAGTGCGCAGCCATACGTGACAATAGCAATATCAAGGTATGACTATATAAATATTGAAGGTTTCAGCCTGAAGACCTTTTTCAGGCTTGTGCAAAAGCGGCTTCCAACCGTCTCAGTTGGGTTTGTTTCAAGTGTCCGTTTTGGTACACCTTTCGTTTTGTGCGTGTCATCCTTTACGGACGTGCACTCCTCCTTGGTCTCTGCCCTTTTTGGCAGTAGACCAACCTCCAAAAAGCGAGCTCTAGGCTCAAGCCGCCTCAGGATCCGCAGACTTTGCACTGTCGGATCTCAGTCATCGGTCCCGTGACCGCATTGCACCGAGCATCGGTGTGGAAGTTGCCGAGCTGGTCCTCATAGATGAAGTTCGTCTCTCGAAGACTTCTCTGGCCTCTGGTGGCCCTTTGACAGGCTCCACACACCGGCTGTTCATGAACTCGGTTGGCCTTGCTCAATCCCCTGCAGCTCCGCTGTCTATGGAAGCACTTGCTGGACTCCGCGAACCAGATCTTCCACGTTGGCTCATTGGGGAATCGCCTCCTCCTCCCAGTCAGGGTGATCTGCAGATGATGCCCTCCAGGTAGGTCAGCTTGATTCGGCGGTTCCTCCTGTGGCTCATTCAGCGCGGGATCCGGTCTCCCTTGATGTCCATCTTCAATGCCTCCACTCATCCTGGTACCTCTTGGTGATGAGGATGAAGCACTCTGCCCTCCATGGTTCATTTGCTGCCATTCTCCATCACGTTGACGTGGTTCTCGATCTCCTCCTCCTTGAGGTCTGGTAGAAGTCCTTGTCCCGGAAGAAGATTGACCAGCCAAGCGAGAGACCCTCACTCTACGCGTCGCCGTATCGTCCTCCACCCGGTTCCAATGCAAGCGGCATTTTTGAATGACCTTCATGAGCACCATTCCCAGCAACATCATCATGACGCTGAGGAGGTACAAGATCTGGTCACCCTCCACATTCTCATCAACGTTCTTGGTGACATTCTCCGCCATAGCTCCATGCACTTCTTTGAGGGCCGACAGCACCACGACAAGCCTCATGGCCTTTTCCAAGTGGTACTTCGCGACCAATTTCATGGCACGAGGTGCGACAATGCCCTTGTCCTCCTCATGCACCTCGTCAACTGAGTCAGGCTGCCATGACATCCCCATCCGCTGTCTCAGCTCATTAATCCGAGCCACTGGCAACGCCTTTGTGCCGATGTCCGCGATGAGCTCTCTTCCAGGCTGGTACTTCAGCTCCCATTGACCAGACTGGATCCTCCATTTGAGGTGGGCGGCCCGTACCTTCAAGTGTCTTGTACGCCACGCTCCAGTTGCACAACTTGCTATTGAGACTGCAGCAGTGTTGTCGCACTTGAGGAACTTCGGGACGTCCTTCGCCATCTCATCAACCAGGCATGCGATGCTGTCCCCCACAACTACAGCTTCGATGACCTCTATGAGTTCGGCTTCCGCAGTTGAAAGGGCGGGGAACGGCTGCTTGCAGCTCTTCCATGCCACCGGTGCTCCGGCCACCGTCGTGATCACACAGCCATGGCTATGAGCACCTCCTGGAGCGAAGGATGCATCACTCACTGACTCCAGGATGAAGTTGGCGTCTCTTCGGTACCACAAGCCCAGGCCCTGCGTGGCATTCAAGTGCCTGATCAGCTGGTATGCGGTTTGGACCGCCCATTTCGGAGCCCGGCTCGTCGCTGAGCAGATTCGGCTGACCGTGTAGGCAATGTCCGGCCTCGTCTTCGTTGCCAGCCACAAAAGTTCTCCTCCGAGTTGTTGTGCCTCTCGGATCTGCAAGGGCGTGCGATCCAGCTCATCCTCGGGTTCCTGGGATTCCTTCATCATCTGAGCGCTGCAAAGGTCTTCCATGCCATGTCGCCGAACCACTTCCCTCAAGTAGGAACATTGATTGGCAAAGAAGTCTCCTTGTTCAGTTCGGCTCAACTCCATTCCACAGTACCGAACTGGTTCACGATCTCCCACCCACGTAGGTTCGGACGTCTCCCAGGTCCTTCGAAAGCTCTGGAGCCCTGCCCTCACAATCTCTTCGGTGCCGAAGAGCATCACATCATCCACGTACACCAAGGCGAGTCCCTCAACCTGGTCTCCATCTCCGGCATCCTTCCATCCTTCCGGCGCACCAACCACAAGTTCTCCTCCGCGAAGCTCTGTTGGTACTCATAGGTGACGGAGTTCGCCTGAAAGGACATCTGGCTGATCTCGATGTCCCTGTAGTCCCCCCAAAGCTTTGGAGACTCACGTAGGCCATACAGAGCCTTTTCCACCAGCCACATTTCCCCCTCCTTGACCAATCCCAGTCGAACGAGGATCTTTGGGGGGAGCATGAGCACCAGGCGTTTCCTTTTCGTGAGGTCCTCCTCCTGCTGCTCTTCCGTGGTTACCCCTTCTTGACCTTCGTGACCTCCTCCATCTTCTTCTTGATCCTCTTGAAGTCGTCCATGAGCATCTTCCAAGGCGAGGTTCTTTTTTCGGCTGCTCTCCTGAAGTGTTCGTAGAGGTGCGTTCAAGAAGGCAGTCTTGATGTCCAGGCTAGCCGCCTGCCAGCCTCGCGAAGCGGCCAGTGGCAATGAGGTCCTCAAGCATGTAGTGTCCGCCCCACCTGCATAGAGCTGAGCTGCTTCCGAACGGTCTCCAGGACCTCTTCCAGCTCCCTTCAGGTAGTTCCCGCACACCACCAGGCGGCATTTCCTTCGTCCGTCAGGGGCCTTCACCGCATGGATGGCCTTCCCTGGAACCACCTCCACCTTGTCTCCATGCTCTCTCTGGTAATAGGCCACTTCTGCGGGAGTCAATCTCCGGATCGCTTTCTTGCCCTCCAAGGACTGGATCTCTTTCATAATGGCTTCCAGCCAAAGGTTCCGGTCTTTGTATACCTCATCGTTTGGTACGATCCGTGTTTGGAGAATCTCGTCTTCCAAGAGTCGTTGGGTTGATGCCACCTGTTCTTGTCGTAGAGCAACCAGACCTCGGCTCAACGGAGGAACTTCTCTTGGAGCAGCTCCCAACAAGTGACCCTCCTCCTCATAGACGGCCTGAAAGAGCATTCGACGATCCTCCTCCCTCCGTAGGTCTTCTTCTCCCCGTATGCATGCCAGTGGTGTCTTCTCTCTCAACCTCCAGCGAAGCCGTACAGGGTCGTCTTGGATATGGACCTCCTCCATGACCAAGTCTCGTTCATCAGGCTTAGGCTCTTTGACATCCTTTATCAAGTAGCTCACTACCTTGACCTTCTCCTTGTCCGTGAGAACCGCGTGCCCTTTAGACACTTGCGGTGTAGGGGTCAGGTAGGTCACCATCTCGGATGTCGCTTCAAAAGGTCCTCCTCGCTCCCAAGCTCGTTTTCTCACCGTGATGAGCTGTCCAAAGCGTGGAAGCGTCTCCTTGATGTTCTCCCTTCTCCTTCTTTCCAGCTCCGTGACATGTCTCGCCGCTGCCGGCCACCACTTCGTGGGCATGCCCGAAGCATGTAGAAGTCGACGGACCCTTTGCTTGATCGACGCGATCATGGCCTCCGCACGACCGTTGGATTGGTGTTCATCTGGAGGACTGAAGGTTCTTGCCAGCCCCCTCTCCAAGCACCACCTCTTGAACGGGTTGTTATCAAACTCCCTGCCAGCATCGGTGTGAATCCTAGCCACAGGGTAGCCATGGCGTCTCAGCATCCCAAACAGTTCTTGTGTTCCAGCAAGGACTTCCGCTGCGCTCTTCGAGGCTAGTGGTAGGCAGATAGACATCGTGATCATCTCGTAGGCCTTCTGGTGCTCTTCGACTTCCTCCGGAGTCTTTGGGAGCGGCACCGATGGTGGTTCGGGTTCACAGGGTCCTGTATCAGGTAGCGGCTCTAACTGGTCACCGCCTCCTCCGCCCTGCCCTTCGTCCTCCTCCGGCTCACCCATCTCCAGATCTTCGCCCTCATCTGACGTAGGTCTATAGGACATCTCCTCACCATGAGCTTCCAGATCTTGAGCCAGGTCATACTCCACCTCCCGAAGAGCCTCCTCTTCCTCGAGTGTAGGCCAGTCCTTGTCTGGGATCACCTCGAGCTGTTCGACCTCGTCCCATGGTGCCTCCTCCATGACCGGCCACGTGTATGCTCCCACCAGGAGGTACTTCTTGAGGTCGCCGTCAATGTCATGGCCGAGCACAAATGGTCCTGTCAGATCCAGCGACAGCACGCACGGAGCCGCTATCCCTTGAGCTCGATGTGGTCGATCCCTTGCCGCTGCTCTCTGACAGACAGCGCAGTCTCTGCGGAACGGCACATGCCCCTGGGCCAGGTGTTCCTGCCAAGACAAGGCCTTCATCGTCGCCCGCCTCTTCTGGATGTTGACTGTGATGCTTCTTGCGATCTCTCGCATCATTCCTGGGGCCCATCTCGCCAGCTCGGAGCTCGACACCTCATGCTTGGTCTTCAGGAAGGCCTTGGGCGGGCCCCGATCCTCGGGAACCATGAACTCCATGTTCAATGCCAGTGAGGTAGGTTTCACCGCCATACCACCATAGGCACCCTGGTTGAAGGTCACCATGTCCAAGTTGAGATGCTCTTTCATTACCCTCCACTCTTCGGTTCTCCAGAAGGATGCCACTTCCGGCATGTGCTGAGGCGCTGCAGGCTGCTCCATCAAGAACCTGACCGTCGGCAGCAACGCGGAATTCTTCTCCTGGGACAATCGTGCATCTCGACCCAGCTTTGCCGCCACATAGAGCGTCACCATACGCAACAGCAGCACATCGTCCAAATGGCACTTTGCCCTCTCCACTTCATCCAACTCGTCCAAGCCCCAGGGTCTTCCCAACGATCTCGATGGCCCTGGCATTCCCGTGACTGGATGGTGACGTAGCTCACTGCGGGTCCTGCAGTTGGGTCCACCGATCACCGCATCAATCCAGCCCAACATCGCAATCCGTAGCAGTGCTGCATACATTGCATCGTCCTTTGACATGTCATGACTTTGGGTTCGAAGGATATCCACCTCCAACAATCTCGTAGTGTCTCCGCCAGCCTCCTTGAGAGCCCTTGTGAGATCGTAGCCCTCATTCTTCCCAGCGTAGAGATGAACCACCACACCCTCATTTCTCCAGCGCTTGCGGATGCGTCGATTGACTCCAAGGACCTCAAGATTCCTTGCTGGAGAGTCCACCAGGCGATCCTTGATTCGGATCGGGACCTTGTCGAAGATCGGACAATCTGCCACCACCCGGTCCAGCCAGTCGACGTCATTGTGAGTCTCCCCAAATCGGTAGCACCTCAACGCCGTTCTCGACCGAGATTCCTCCAGCTCCCTGATGAGGTCCAACGCAACATCATGGTCCATTTGAGGGCATCCAGCTTCAACCCTGAGGTCAATGTTGCCCTTGACTGGATGCTCCAAGGTGCACGCTTCCCCTACCCATTCTATTCGACATCCCAGATCGCGAACCAGCCTTCCCGCCGGTACAATCGGCTCCACATTCTCACTGTTGTGGACCAGCGTCTCCCCTTCTGTCATTCGGATGTCTTGTGCTCCTCCAGCAGCCAACGTCACCCTCACCTGGCGATATCTCTGAAGATCTTCTCCTCGGAGCTTGGGCCTCAGAGCGTGCGTTGCCCCAGAATCCAGAAGTCCTTCTCGACCTTGTTGGACTCGAGCTATCTTGACTGCCCGTAGCTCTGGGCCACCTTTCTCCCATGCTCGATTCAGCTTCTTCAACGTCGCACCAAGGTCCGTTGCACGATCTTGCCCTTCTTCTTCGAGGTTCATGCCCTTGAGCAACTTGTGCGCCTCATCAAGCGCATTCTTGATTGGGTCTGCAGTTCTTGTCGCTGTATCCGATACCGCCTCCGAAGTCACCGACTGCGAGGATGCTGCTTGAGGAGAAATTGAAGCCCCCGACTCACTCCGCGAGGTCCCATTTCCACCACCACCGGTTTTGTCCAGCAGCTTCTGAAGCTTCGGTTTCTGGCCAGATGGAGGTCCTTCTCCCTTCTTTGCCGTCTCTTTCCTCGGACAGTCTCGAGCCAGGTGCTGTGTGGCCCCGCACGTGAAGCACCTCCTCTCCTGGTTCTGCTTGTCGCCAGTCTCCAGTTGATGTGCCCATTTGCACGACTGCCCTCTTCGACATCCAGACTCCGTGAGGAAATATCGACAAGGACCCTTCGCCGATGTCGTTGGCGAGTCCCCCTTCTTCTCTCGATCTTCCCCTTGAAGTGCCTTTACTGCCAATGGTCCACCTCCCTGATTTCCAGGCCTCGTAGTGCTCGAAGACGGTCGGACTCGGTGCATGAGTTGTTCAAGTTCAGCGAGCAAATGCTCAGCATACGTCCGAACAGTCTCCTCATTGGGGATGGTATCAAGCTGCAAGGTGTTTTTGACCAAGGCACATCTGAATTGCAGATCCGGTTGTTGAGTGAGGATCCGCTTGCTAAGTTTGTTGATGCCCTTCATGAGGATGATCGCATCAGGGAGATTCAGGCCAATGTCGGTGGCCCTCCTGAGCCAGCGCATCCAGCGTCGGAGCCCCACGCAGGCTTCGCTTGGCGACCCTGCTTCTGGCGGATCTTCAAGTTGCCGCAGGATGATGGTGCGCTCATGAGCACCCCCTGGTTGATAGAGGACCATGAGTTTGCTCACCAGCCCCAGCGGTGACAAAGTCCTCGTTGCTACCAGTTCCTCCTTCACTGTCGTGGGAACTGAAGAAAGCAGCATGCTGATGGCCCTCTTCTCCACTCGAGCCCACTTCGGCTTTTGCAACTCAGCAGACGGCTCGATCTTGGATGATGCCCGCTGAATTGGACGAAGCTTGATGTACTGCTTGTACCAGGCCCTTGCTTCGCTCACCACCAACTCCCACCACTCGCCTGACGAGTCGCTAAGATCTGTCATGGCCGGTTCCACCATAGTGAGCCAGTCAGCAAGGTCGATGGGAGCCGTATCGGATGGCTCTGCCAGGACTGGGAGTGTGGCCGTCCCCGGCTTGACCGACTCCGGTCCTTTTTGCTTCTTGTCCTTGTCGACCAGGTAGGTGATCAGCATAGACATCGCATCAGCCATGCCACCACCGCGCTCTCTTGATTGTTCCTCCCGAACATTTGCAGTTGAAGATCGACCAGGCTGCTCGGCTGTGGCTTTCTTCTTTGGCTGACCCACACCTTTCCCGGTCCCTTGTCTCCCTTCCGGTTCGAAGCCCTTCGCCCGAGATGCCACCAAGCCCTCAGGTTGACCTCCTCCCTGACGTGCAGTTCTCGGACCTTGAGATCTCGACCTCTCTCGTTGTCCTTGCCCCCGACCACCTCGCTTTGCTGGCGCCGGAGTGACCGTCCCCATCAAGGATTGGAGTTGCTCGAACTGTTGCATGGGAGTCAACTCGTACAGTCGGCGTCTTTCCACCTCCAAATCTGTCTCTCTCGGAGGTTCGTCGACCGTCAATTCCAGCTGACGATTCACAGGCTCATCGCTTTCTGGCGTTCTAAAAACCTGCTGCTCCAGCTCACGTTGTAGATCATGGACCTTGGCTTCCAGGCTTGCCCTCTGGTACTTCATGGCATCCATGAGCTCTGCCTGCTGAATCTGCAGTTGCTGATTCTCCTGCTTCAGCATCGCCAACATGGTCATCATCTCCTGTGGATTCGGTGGACCAGGGCCATAGGGATGCAACTGAACTTGCCATCCTCCTTGATGCGGCATAGGTCCCCTCCTCTCTTCATGGGGCATGATGTACCCAGGTGGGCCAGTTTGTCCAAAGCCTCTTGGAACATGTAGACCTCTTCCTCCAGGCCCGTTCCCTTGGATCTGAACCACCGATTGCTCTCTAGGTTGGGGAGGTTGCCGCCCATCGCTGTCACTTTCAGGCTCTTGTACTTCAGGTACCCGCGGTTCTCTTGTTCGTCCACGTCGCTGGTCATCTGGTACATGGTCGCCCACCAGTGCCGGTGATGGTGTCCCCGTCGTCGTACTCGTCTGTGGAAGCACTCCCACTGAACCCTCTTCTTTTGGTAGGAACGTGGGTCTCTCTTTCTGCACCTCCTCTGGCGACCTGTTCCCCAGACCAGGCTGCCAGATGCTCTGCCTCGGGACTTGAGCATATAGGTGAGGAGCTTGGCTCTGCACTTCATGAAGTCCCTTCAACTGTTCCGGCGTGAAGAGTGGGGTCATCGGCGTCAAGGTCGTAGGTGGTCCCTTCGGGCCTTCCAATGTCTCCTCTCCCCCAACATCTTCACCATCCTCCAGAGCAAGCTGCTCTTCTTCCAGCTGCCGATCATGTAGTGGGAGGCCTTCCGGATCGGCTTCTTCTCCTTCTCCATCATCGCCAGGTTGCCGTCTTCGTCGGCGAACCATCATGGCCATGGCTTCCGCTTGCGCAGGGCGGCCCAGCGATCGACCTCCTCAAGCTGGGTCTTACACCTTCAACCTTGGGCTCATAACCTGAAGGTTTCAGCCTGAAGACCTTTTTCAGGCTTGTGCAAAAGCGGCTTCCAACCGTCTCAGTTGGGTTTGTTTCAAGTGTCCGTTTTGGTACACCTTTCGTTTTGTGCGTGTCATCCTTTACGGACGTGCAAATATAATGGCAAGATTGGTCACCAAGGCAACACCAACGGCAGGACATATAATTACATTATATTACATTTATATATATAGTATATATTTTTAGCACTGCCGACACGCCACAATCACGATGAGAAGCACAAGCCGCAATGGCAACAGCACAAGTCACAACAACAGCGCAACAAAAGCAAGCCATAGTGACTACATTGCTGGGAAACTACACTGGCCAACAGCACCTAGGAGAGAGTGGCAACAGCAGCCACGACGCACCACACACATTGCACAGACTTGTCACAATGACAACAAAAAAGATCACAACGACAACATAGATGACCAGCTCAAATTATTCAGCACGATGACGACGTCAATGAAAGCAGCTGCCTAGTTTGGAGGGTTACGGCTTAGGAGGGTTGAAACTTAATACACAACAGAAACACTGCTGCCGGGTCATGTTGTTGTCATCATGCTCTTTTTTGTTGTCACTGCGACAAGTCTGTGCAATGTTTGTCGGTGCGTCGTGGCTGCTGTTGTCATTATCTCCGAGGTGCTGCTGCTATTGGCCATTGTAGTTTCCCAGCGATGTAGCGCTAGTGTTGTTTTGTTGTTGGTGCTGCTGCTGTTTCCATTGCGGCTTGTGCGTCTCATCATAATTGTGGCTTGTCAGCGGTGCTAATATAAGTATTTCTTGTAATAGTTTTATATGTGTCCTGCTATTGCTGTCTTGCTAGCCTGTCAGTGCTCGTGTTTTGTTGGCCTGCCATTGGTACCGTCATCATGTTTGGCTTGCCTGACGACGTCAATGACAGGCCCCCAAATGAGCCAACCTGGTTACAGCTTCAAGTTAGGTTTAGTGGGGATAGCTTGAGGGGAGTAAATTTGGAAAGTGTTGTGCAAAACGCTCATTGTTTGTTTTATCTTACAGTGTGGTCTCCGAGAAATTGCAGTCCAGGCTGAGAAGCTTGGTGTGGTGTGGCGAGGAAATTCTTCCAAGCAGAGCCGGAGAGCCAAGGGAGCATGACGGTCAAGTCTGAAAGATGTGTTTGTCACCTCAAGGCTCTCATGAGTTGCTCGAAGCCACTGACATGCCATCAGATTTCAGCTGGTGCAACAAGGATGGCAAGTCCGAGGCTTAGCACAAGGAGACACAGCTTATGTATGATTCCGTATTGCATATGAGTCGTTTTCAATATTATCGTCATTTACTTTATACAAGGGCGTTTAGGGCGTTTCATCCAAGAGTGTGATTTTGGGTTTCGCTTGGAAAATGATACGGGACGTCCAAAAAACGATACCTCTATTGTTACATGCATTAGTTCCTTGAGTTTTTTTGAGTTTGTTTTGGTATGTCGTCCTGCTACAGCAACTCTTCTGAGCATTTGTGCTCAAGGGTCTGAAGGGCGTCACTTCATAAACCTGTGTGTTCTTCCTAGTGACCTAGTGTTCACAGCCACTACCACTACCCCTACCACTACTACTACTACTACTGCTGCTACTACTACTACCACTACCACTACTACTAGCACTAATACAACAACAACAACTACTACTATTACTACTACTACTACTACGACGACTTCGACTTCGGCTTCTACTTCTACTTCTACTTCTACTTCTGCTACTACCACCATTAGTACTCCTTCTCCTACTACTACTACTACGACGGCGACGGCGACGACGACGACTACTACTACTAGCACTACTACCATTACTACTACTCCTACTCTAGTCCAACTCTTACTCCTACTACTGCTACCACTACTACTACTACTACTACTACTGGTACTTCTACTACGACGTACCACTACTGCTACTACTACTACTGCTACTACTACTACTAACAACAACAACTACAACAACTACTACTAACAACAACTACTACTACTAACAACAACTACTACTACTAACAACAACTACTACTACTAACAACAACAACTACTACTACAACTACTACTACTACTACTAGTACCACTACTACTACTACTACGACTACTACTACTACTACTACTACTACTACTACTACAAGGCCTCAATATTTGTTGAGTCCCTTTTTATTTCTCTTTTGATCCCCATTGAATATGTTTGATTTTTTTGTGATCCCTTACCCCTCCAGTGTTTTGTTGTTTGTGCGCTTGTGTTTGCACTTTGTTTGTCATGGTCCGTGACGTTCATTGTTGGTGGCAAGACTCCACCATGCGAATCATGTAAAGCCTGCAAAACGATACATACAGTGCTCATTCTTCCAAACATTGTAAAACGATACGGGACGTCCTAACTTTGAATGAATACAGCTTAAGCAAGCAGTTTCGAAAACAACTCATATATATATATCTTACACAACTTGGCACCCTATGTCGTTCCTTTCTCTTGCTCATTCCTCCTCTCATCAGAATCCGAGGAGCTACTGCACCATGTCCAGGAACCAGCACATCCCCCAGGAGAGTGCGGGAGTAATTATGTTAAGTTGAACGGAAGAGCAAGTGTGCAGCTGTCAATCTGAGCAACATGTTCCGACCTCAGATGCGAGATGACGTGTAGATTTTACAGTTTGTACAACGAGGCCATACTAAAATTGACTATGTTGGATCTTAAATGATCGCCTCCACCCGCTGCCGAAAACAACTGTGGGAGAATTGAGATAGCCGCCCATGGCAGTCCTAGTCTCAGTGGAATGTGGTCGTAGTCGTAGGCGTAGGTGGTGGTAGTGGTGAAGTAGGTAGGGGTAGGTAGGAGGTAGGAGGTAGTAGGTGCTGGTGGTGGTAGTAGTAGCAGTAGTTGATGTGGTAGTAGTAGTAATAAAAATTGGTATTTAGTAGTTAGTAGTAAGTGGCTGATAGTAAGTAGTATACAAGTGGTAAGTAGTAAGTGGTAAGTAGTAAATAGTAGTAGTAGTAGTAGTAGTAGTAGTAGTAGTAGTAGTAGTGGTAGTGGTAGTGGTAGTGGTAGTGGTAGTGGTAGTGGTAGTGGTGGTAGTAGTAGTAGTAGTAGGAGTAGTAGTAGTAGTAGTAGGTAGTAGTAGTAAGTTGTAGTAGTCGTAGTAGTAGTAGTAGTAGTAGTAGGTAGTAGTAGTAAGTTGTAGTAGTCGTAGTAGTAGTAGTAGTAGTGGTAGTAGTGGTAGTGGTAGTAGTGGTAGTAGTGGGGTAGTAGTAGTAGTAGCAGTAGTAGTAGTAGTAGTAGTAGTAGTCGCAGTAGGAGTAATAGCAGTGGCAGTGGCAGTAGCAGTAGTGGTAGTTTCCAGGAGGTGTTTGTTTATAGTAGTAACTAGTAGGTAGCAGGCAGAAGGCAGTAGGTAGCTGGTCGCAGGTAACA